TAAAGGCTGAAGAACTTAAAGCAGTTTGATCTAAGGCCTTTCGTTCACACTAGAGTGGTTTCAATTAATGCGCATTGATGCGCATCAGTCTCACTTCACCTCCAGAGGTGGATTGATGTGAAGTGATGCGCTTCGATCAATGTAAACCAATGGCAACAAGAACACAAAATGATACATGCCGATTCAGCTGCTAGTGTGAACACGATCCATGCGCATTATTTCAGCTGTATCAACAAAGCGCATCGCTTTGAAAACTGTGCCAGTGTGAAAAGGCCTTAAGACTCCTCTAGATTAGTCCTCTCATTGACAGAATTAAAATTGTGAGAGAAGCTTGATTAGATTTGTCACTTTTTCTCAAAGTATTAGGACAGTTCATTCTTGTCACTTTTACTAGGTCATTTTGGTCAGTGGTGTTAAATAGTGGGTTTGCTCTGTTCAGACCCTGCCGTACTATGAGGATGGGGTCTGAATATGCATGCACGTTAAGGGCTGGATTGATTTTATTTCAGTAGTTTTATTTCAAAAAGATGTTAATTGATGGAAGCTTGATTAAAAGTTTAGCTTAGCACATTTTTTCAAGGTGACAGGATAGTTCATCCTTGTCTCTTTTACTGGGTTATTTTGGTTGTGTTAACTGGTGTGTTTGCTCTGTTCAGACTTCAGATCCCGGCCATGAGGCCGGGGTCTGAATATGCATGCAGGCTAAGAGCTGGATTTATTATAATTTTAATCTTCTTATCAAACAATGTGAATTGATGGCTCGCCCCCTCAATGTTTACATTCACCTAGTTATTATTATTATTGTTATCCTCTCCTTTCCTCTCTCTCTTCTATTTTTCTTTATATACTCTACTGTTCCCTCCCTCTCTCCTTCTCTCTACAGGCTATCTTCCTAACAGTTCTACTGCAGTTAAAGCAATGCTTGCTACTGCCAGTATTGGAGCAATTTGGAGTTCAACATCACCTGATTTTGGCTCAACTGTAAGCATGCAATGAAAAAATAATATTAATATCACTTTCATCAATGTAATCATAATTATCTTGTTATTGTTATTATTGTTCCTGTTTTATGCTTATCTTTTTTATTAGGGAGTTCTTGATAGATTCAAGCAGATCAAGCCCAAGGTTATATTTTCAGTTGAGGCCGTGTGATACAATAAAAAAAAACATAATCAAATTTTAACAAGTTAAAAACTGTTGTGGACGGACTGCCTGATCTTGAGAAGGTCGTTATACATCCATTTTGTTCATCTACTGTTGATATATCTCAACTGAAGAACAGGTTTGGATATTAATAGGATATTGCAGGATATGTATAGTATATTTTTGTTTATTATTAGTATTTTATTGGAAGATTTTCTCTCTGATAATACTGATTTAACATACAAGCAGCTGCTGTTCAACAACCCATTGTTCATAATGTACTCCTCCGGTACTACAGGGTCACCTAAATGTAAATGTATGGTACACTTAGCAGGAGTGAGTTTATGATAACTTTATACTTGTAATTGCACTGTATTGTCTTTATAGATGCATATTATACATGTTCTTATGTTGTAAAAAGTTTGAGCCGATTCTGATCAAGTTTGGATTTTTTAATGAATTTTTTTAAAGTTATTCCAAAATTGAGTACATGTAAAAGTCCATGTACTATAGTACACAGTCTTGAACCAAATTTTGCCAAAAATAAAAAGTAGAGAATTTTTTAAGTTTATAATTTTTTTCTGATGCATATACATGTTTTTATGTTGTGTAGAAAGTTTGAGCTGATTCTGATCAAATTTGGATTTTTT